TATTGAATATTTTGGAAAATTACCTTTTTCACGGGAAAAATTTAGTCCCTCAAAAACTCCTGGTGGAATAGAGGGAAACGGTTATGATTTTCGAATTCACCGTTAAAAAACACATAAGAAACATCCGTCACATGTTGAGGTTTATTTCCTGAAAATTGAGTTTTCCCCGGAAAACCCTCTTTTTATCCAAGAAAATCGATTTTCCGGAAAATCCTGATGGAAGAGAGGAAAATGGATAGCGTTTTCGGACTCAGCGTAAAAAAGTACCTATGAAACACCTACCATATGTTGAGCTTCGTTTTCGGATGCAGACGTACGTAATTATTTGGGATTTATCACCGTCATTTTACCCTCTTTTAGCGTTTTCTAGATGTTTCAGTTGTTTCGCCGCTCTAACGAGGGGTAAAAATTTTTTTGAAGTGTCCAATACATGTTTTCCTACTCAATTTTTCCTGCTAAAGCCGAATATGACCTCAGATTTTTTCTAGAAATTACACATTTTTCGAAAAATGGATTTTTCTGGAAAAAAGTGTTTTTCAATGTAAAATCCCATACAGGGTGTCCCAAAAGTCCGTACCCCCCCTCGTAACTTTTGAACGGTTAGAGATAGAAAAACGAAACTTTGGGAATGTTTCTATCTTAAAGGGGTCCATCTTCTAGGGGGGTCAAAATTTTTGTCCCCCCCTCAGGGGGGGCGCGGGGGCCCCCAACTTTTTTTTTTCAAATGGTAACCCCTATCTTGTGATACATCATTAAAAAGAACATAAAAAACTAAGAATTTTGGCGCAAACCGCAAATCAATATCCATCAATAAATATTGATATAATCAATATTGACCGAGTTATGATGGGTCAAAGGTCAAATTTGACCTATTTTCAAAAAATCATATCTCCGGTTCAAATTATCGTAAAGAAAAAAATAAAACGGGAAAATTTACCGAATTGTAAGCACTTTCAAGTAATAATCACAGAAATTACTTAAAACTAATTTTAAGGGGGGTTTCGGACCCCCAAAAACGTCATTTTAAAGGTCATAAGGTATTCTCGCGAAATGAGCCAATTTCTCCTTACTTTTCCTCAACATTATCTTAGTAAGTTCAAAATTAGGTCAAAATTGCGTTTTCAAGTCCCCAAATTTCGAGCAAAGTTCAAAAAACGAAATTTAAGGTAATTCAATTCAACCATTTAAATTTCATTTTTTTTAAAACTTTGTTCAAAATTTGGGGACTTGAAAACGCAATTTTGAACTAATTTTGAACTTGCTAAGATAAAGTTGAGGAAAAGTAAGGAGAAATTGGCTCATTTCGCGAGAATATCTTATGACCTTTAAAATGACGTTTTTGGGGGTCCGAAACCCCCCTTAAAATTAGTTTTAAGTAATTTCTGTGATTATTACTTGAAAGTGCTTACAATTCGGTAAATTTTCCCGTTTTATTTTTTTCTTTACGATAATTTGAACCGGAGATATGATTTTTTGAAAATAGGTCAAATTTGACCTTTGACCTATCATAACTCGGTCAAAAATTAAGATATTGATTTGCGGTTTGCGCCAAAATTCTTAGTTTTTTATGCTCTTTTTAATGATGTATCACAAGATAGGGGTTACCATTAAAAAAAAAAAAGTTGGGAGCCCCCGCGCCCCCCCTGAGGAGGGGACAAAAATTTTGACCCCCCCTAAAAGATGGACCCCTTTAAGATAGAAACATTCCCAAAGTTTCGTTTTTCTATCTCTAACCGTTCAAAAGTTACGAGGGGGGGTACGGACTTTTGGGACACCCTGTATAAAAAAGATGGCTCTGTCGGCACGGGTTAATATTATCCGATTTGGCTGAAACTTGGCAGAGAGTGTTTTTTGATCAAATGGAACAGTTCTAGGGGGTAAGACCAAAAAAATTCGCAAAATAAATTTTGCTGTGTATAATTGGGCCACCCTAATCGAGCATGCCTCAATCTCGCGTGTGCTGGGTGCGGGTGACTCTCTCGAACCCCCTGTCAGCTGATTACGGCTGTCGGGGGGTGGGACTGACCGCCCGTTCCTGACACATGCGAGCAGTAGTTGCCGGAACTCGGTTATTTCCCCGCTTTTGGAGCAAAAAAAAAAAAAAAAAAAAATTGAATTTCAATCCCTTTAGGCCATGGCGCACGGGTCTAGGGGTGGTTTTAGGATCCCAAATTTTCCGTAGCTTATTTTTAGCCTATTTGGCCACTAAAAATCATGGTGAGCCCGAGCGCCGCGAAAAGTCAGTTTTAGCGCTCCGCCTTAATGAAAAACGAATGAAAGCTATGAGACATTGGAATTTTTTGGGAAATGTTTTCGGCAATTCCACGGACCTAAGGAACTTGTAAGCTGACATATTTTGTACATATTATTCAGGGACCAAGAATGCAAACCGCACTGAAATAGCAGAAAAAGCTGTAGGGGATTTTGTGCGTTATTTCAGGGCGTTCTAGGCTGGATTGCTGAAAAAATTGAAATGAACTTTGGGTAGAGTTTGAAAATGTTTCTTAACATATCTTCATGTACTTTAAATGTTAAAAGGCCTCCCTCCCCTCCTCCCTGCGATTCCTTCCTCCTTCCCGTCCACAATACAACCACCCTATGAACCATCGTTTTTCCAGGCGGATTCTCGGTGTTGCTGAAAATACTAAGACGGACTATTTCCAAAAATAGGTACTTTTAAATAGGTACTTGTTATATACGAGTACTTGTAAAGGATTCAAAGTTTTACTAAAATTATCAAAGTCACAGCTTGGAAGTTTCTAAAGCATAAACATTAATGACAAGCATTGATTGGTAATACGGGAAAAAAGAAACATTTATTTGAAACAAATAATCACCGAACAGTAGGTATGTAGCCGTCATTCATTTTTCAAATTGGAAAAAAAATCAGGGATTTTTTAGCCTCTGGCGCAGTATGTAAATAATCTGTCTCAGTACTTACGGCACCACCAGGAATGTCCCTACAAAAAACAAGATTAATAGGTGCTGGACGTGGCTGCAGGGTAAGCATACAACAAGCACTAGTATATTCGGAACTAGTCTGTCTTAGTATTGTCAGCCTTACACTTTAACCGATGATTAAAGGATAATTCTGACACTTGATTGACTATAATTGTATTGTATACATTTACAAGCCACAGACACAGCCTAACTTGACTTTTACAGCGCCTTAACCCGAAATACCCGCCAAAAAGGCGAAAACTCGCATTTTCTGAAAAGCGGACAAATTACTCATTTTGCGGCTTGCGCTTGTTGTTCCTCAACCAAAAGGCCTCCTAGATGACATTTCGGAACACAAAATCGCGGGTGGTATGCTAATTGCATTAAACGTGTTTAGAGCACACCATGTTTCTCTTTCTTTCGGCACATAAGGGCAGGTCGGCTTGTTATCGAGGAAAAACGAGCGTGTCTGTCTCATAAGGACGGGAGAGTGGGAGAACGAAACTGATTCGGTTAGTGAGGCAAAGAGGCTTGCAGCATCCGAGATAAGACTCCCGTTCGGCAGTAGAAGTGACAGATCACATGTACCTAAATGCGCTCAGTTTTCATGTTTCACTCGTTTGCACCTTGCTCCCTCGAGAGCTGAAAGAAAAAGGGATCTTTTTGACTCATTATCACCGCGAAGCCTTCTTTTATTTAAGGATTTGTCAAAATTTCTACCGTAGATTGTGCAAAAACGGTGGCTTGTAGAAAATTGGTACAAAGGTCACTTTTGTTTAACGTTCATAAATGAGTTTAGTGTGATACAAAAGTGGGAAATCGAGCGTGGCACATACCTAGCTTTATAAGGAGTTAAAAAAGTACCGAGACTGGTTCCATAACTCAAAAACCAGGATAGCTAGAGGCTTTATCTTGGTTGCATTTGAAAGATCAACTCAATATCTATCGATTGAAACCAAAATCAAAACTTTCGGGAAAACCTTTCATAAGTTACGACACTGTTTGTAAAAAAAAAAATATCTGGACCCGCTACCGTTTTTGTGACTATTTTCTCTTGCCGAGAACACTCTAAATTATTAATGATCAGTGCACGGTTCTTTTGCAACTAATCATGGCAAAACCTAATCGATTTGGCAATACTGTCAAGTCGTCGTTGTCCGACTTCGGGTGTAAGGGTTTAAAGTCCACGGGGAAAGAATGAATCGGCGGTCAGCCACCCCAAGAAAATCTAGGAAATCGGCAGTTGTCGACAGTTCACAGTGCGTGCTTGGTCTACGCTGCAGATAGTGATTTTGTTTCTGTGTTCGCAATTTTTGATACCATCATGGAAAGAGATAAAGCAGTGGAAAAAGAAAAACATTTTGTGATTCGATACTGTGTTCGACGTGGTTCATCAGCTACGGATATGCTGAATGAAATGAAAGGTGTGTAGCGGGACGATTGTTTAAGCCGAACCGCGATTTTCGGCTGGCATAAGGAATTTAAAGACGGTCGTAAGTCAGCTGAAGTGCTTCCTAAAGACGACGACGACTTGACAGTGTCGCCAAATCAATTAGGTTTTGCCATGATTAGTTGCAAAAGAACCGTGCACTGATCATTAATAATTTAGAGAGTGTTCTTGGCAAGAGAAAATCGTCATTAAAAACGTTAGGAGGTCCACATATTTTTTTGCCAAACAGTGTCGTAACTTTTGAAAGGTTTTACCGAAAGTTTTGATTTTGGTTTCAATCGATAGATACTGAGTTGATCTTTCAAAGGAGCCCAGGATCAAGCCTCTAGCTATCTTACTTTTTGAGTTATTGAACCAGTCCTGGTACTTTTAGAAAGCCTTTGTACTTCACAACTTTCTGAAATTTCTGGAAATAGTTTAAGAGAAATTTCATGTAATTTCACCATCCTGTACATAGAGGGGGGGGGGAGGAAAGCTAGTCGTGCCATAGGCAAATAAAAGGGAATTTTGAGCAGAATTGCAATCTGTTAGTTCGTTGTAGTTCTGGAATGAGAGTTCTTGACCTCAAAGGATATAAACGTTTTGAGGTTGGAAACGTAAAAAACTTTAATAAATTTTAAAAGGTGCATTTTATTTTCATTTTCAAATACTTACTCAAATAATTTGCAATAAGATCTCATAGTCTTAACGAAATTAGTACCCCTTTTTTTTTTTTTTTTTTTTTTTTTTTTTTAATTAAGAAGTACACGGATGTCCTGTACTTACCTTTTCTCTTTTAAAGAAAAAAGTCAGAATTAATATTAAGAACAAGAATCTTTGCATGAACTTGAATTACATATTTATAGAGTTTTGACGGTAGTACATGGAAAATACATCAATGAGAATATGTCTTGTGCATGGCAACAAATAAGTGCTCAGACCAAGTTAAAGAACAATGTCAACAGTTAGAAAATACTCAAAAGGTCATTTTTCACCGAGTGATTCAGTGATGTAACCCACCGACACTACTTTAAAGCTGTAAAATTTTTTAGTTCTTCCGACCAGAAAGAAAAAAATATTCACATTTTTACTGTTTCGGCCTCTAATTTCCCGAGTCTGGTACCAAAGAAACTCACATTTTTCCAAGAAATGCACAAATATATTTTGAAATTTCACAATTTAAACAAGATGGTATTAAAAGGAAAGAAAATGATACCTGATGGTGCTAAAATCTGATAGCTTCAGAAAGTAGCAAAGGTCATGAAACATTTTTCTCTTAGAGCTTGATAGACTCTTGAGTGATCAGTGATATGTTGAGGAATATTTATACATTTCTTGCAGAGACATAAATTTCTTGGGTACAAGACTTTGCACATCAGAGGCCAAATCGGAAAAAATCTGAATATTTTTTAACTTTCAAAGTTTTGGGTCCCAAGAGGTAAAAATGTACCAACGGTTATTACTTGACAGTATTTTCCGTTCACCAAAAAAAATTTCAAGGAAATCGGTATATTTGGGTTGCATCACTCACTGAACATGAAAGGACCTGTAGATGAAACTATTCACTATTTTTTCACTGTGAGCAGGAGCACGATCATTCGTGGTTATCACATTTTGCACCCTTATGGAAACAGTACCAAGCATAACTTAACTAATTTACTTACATTCAAAATTTTAAAACAGCCTTTTCAATACAACGAACTTACGAATTACCTAATTAGAATATTAATCTGTATTTTATGAAAATATTGTTTCAAATTTATTATCACTCCTACTCAATTAGGACTATGACTAGAAGTTACCTGCAACAGATGCTTATTGAATGTGGAATCCAACTAGACCATCACCATCTTGATTCATTACTATTTTATTTTCAAACCAACAGCTACTGAAGATCATACAGAATGATTCCTGAGAAGCATAAATAACGCGGAGGATTAATAGGGGGATTTTTTCCCCTTAGTTTTGAACTGCTTAGAAACATACATTTATCAAAGGAAGAGTGAACTATTAAAATTTTGTGGCTAAAATCAGGGTGTCTAGCTATTTTTAAAACAAAATTTCCCTAAAAGTTCTCTAATTTCCCTGACAATAACGGTCAAAAAAACGGAAAAATGTAAAATTCCCTGACACACGGAAAAAATAATTCCCTGACATTTACCTGATAAAATGGTTAAATACTCCTAATTTTTTGACACGGTTGAACTGATTAGATGTAGGTAAGAATTTTTACATGTCTTAGAAATATAATAAATAAATAGAGCCATGTAAATGGTTCCTAAACTTTTGAGAGATATTTTTGCCTCATTTTTTAAATTTAAATGCTCGACAAAAATTCTGGTAAAAATTTTGGTAGAAATCACTGTAAGAGTAAAATTTGCAAAATATTTTCTAGAACATTTGTTACAATGATACAAGGTTACAACGGTTTCAACAATTTTTTTCTTTAAATATAAAAAAGAGAGATATGATAATAAGACATGATATATAATAAGATGTGATATAAAGATATCACATCTCTCTGAAGGATGCACTTATCTTTACAGGCATACTTGCCCTTTGTTTGTGTGCTCAAATGAGTTCGACTTGTTTAGGTGATTTTATCATTCCATTCCAAAAATATCTCTGCCACTCTTCTTCATCACTGAGTACCTCTATCTCCTGCAAAAGCAGAGGAAGTTTCACAGGCCACTCTCCTTCCTTATATGTCTAAAATGTTTCGATAATAATCCTCATTTGTCATATATTGTTGATGAAAAGTTAAATTGAAATTTTAGCTTCTACAAGAGCTGTGACCATTTCAAACCGATGGTTGGTTGAAGTGTGGACAGCCTTTCACCTGCTAAAATGTTGATGACTGGTATTGTATAGTTAAAGCAGAAACATTCAATGACAGAAGCGAGGAGAGAGGTGATCCTTTATAGGGGTCGGGGTTTATTCCAGGTGAAACACCATCTTTACACTGACAAAAAAGTGAAGATTTAGAACCATCTTTTACTTCAGGAAAAAATGATCTTCTTGTTAATTATTAATTCTTCCACTTTTGAAAAGTAAAGAGTGCACACACTCAGTGATACAGGGTGTCCCAAAAGTCCGCAACCCCCCCTCCCACAAAATTTTTGTAATTCCCTAGGGGGGGGGGGGCCTCCAACTTTTTTTTTCAAATAGCAACCCCTATCTTGTGATATATCATTGGAAAGAACTTAAAAATTTAAGAATTTTGGCGCAAACCGCAGATCACTATCTTAATTTTGACCGAGTTATGACAGGTCAAAGGTCAAATTTGACCTATTTTCAAAAAATCATAACTCCGGTTCAAATCATCGTAGAGAAAAAAACAAAACAGGAAAATTTACCAAATTGTAAGCACTTTTAAGTAAAAATCACAGAAATTACTTCAAACTTATTTTAAGTGGGGAGGGGTTCGGACCCCCAGATACGTCAGTTTAAAGGTCATACGATTTTCCCACGATTTGAGCCAATTTACCCTTACTTTGCCTCAACATCATCTTGGTAAGTTCAAAATTAGTTCAACAATGCGTCTTAAGTCCCCAAATTTCGGGCAAAGTTAAAAAAGGAAATTAAAGGTGATTCAATTCAACCGTTTAAATTTCGTTTTTTTAACTTTGCCCGAAATTTGGGTACTTGAAAACGCAATGTTGAACTAATTTTGAACTTACCAAGATGATGTTAAGGCAAAGTAAGGGTAAATGGGCTCAAATCGTGTGAAAACCGTATGACCTTTAAACTGACGTATCTGGGGGTCCGAACCCCCCCCCCCTTAAGATAAGTTTGAAGTAATTTCTGTGATTTTTACTTAAAAGTGCTTACAATTTGGTAAATTTTCCCATTTTGCTTTTTTCTCTACGATAATTTGAACTGGAGTTATGATATTTTGAAAATAGGTCAAATTTGACCTTTGACCTGTCATAGCTCGGTCAAAATTAAGATATTGATCTGCGGTTTGCGCCAAAATTCTTAAATTTTTAAGTTCTTTCCAATGATGTACCTATCACAAGATAGGGGTTGCTATTTGAAAAAAAAAGTTGGAGGGTCCCCCCCCCCCCTTAGGGAATGACAAAAATTTTGACCCCCCTACAAGATGGTCCCCTTGAAGATAGAAACATTCCGAAAGTTTTGATTTTCTTTCTCTAACCGTTCAAAAGTTAAGAGGGGGGGGAGGGTATGAACTTTTGGGACACCCTGTAGACGATTTTCTAGTTTGTTCAGACAAAGAACCCCGCACCATTCTTATGGAAAATCCCCCCCCTCCCTAGTAAAACCTGATGAAACTTTGATGTGTTGCTCAGCAAGTAATTCTAATCAAAAGCTCTAATGGGACCAAAAGAAATGCCATGTACCGTTTTCGAGATATTCGCCGTTATGTATGCGTGAACGGAGGTCTCGCCGGTCGGACTATTGTGCGGCACTACTCGTACCCTTCCCTTCCAGTCCACTCCGGCTTCTCTCCGTTTCTCCGCCACCCGTACCCGAGACTCGGACTCCGACGCTCACGAGGCTTCACTCATCGGCACCGGCCCGGGTG